AAATAGATTATAAAATATTTTCTTTTATTATTATATAATGCTTAAATTCAAAAAGGTTTATATTGATAGTAGTTATAAAGTCAATGGCACTTCATCCGAATTTACGATAGACTTGCCTGAAACTGTCCAACTTGAAGATAATATGTTATGTCAAATACATGAGGTAAGCATTCCTCATTCTTGGTATTCAATAAACAGCACAAATAACAATATTTATTGGAGACATCAAGTTATACCCCCTGGTGTTATAGCGGGTATTACTTACCGTAAAGTAACAATTCCCGAAGGTAACTATACAGCGGTAGATTTAGCACAAACCATACAAATAGCGATTAATCTATTAGTGGATACAAACGACAGACCTAACACATATTCTTTAAGTTACAACACATCAACTAACAAATTTACAATCAGTTCTAATTATGCAACAGTTATTTTTGTTCTTCTCACTGATGGGGAAGTTGCGCCAGTGGCAAATTTGTTTAGTGACCCTGTTGATGTTAATAACTTATATTCTTTAAACCGCGTGATTGGCAACACAACCCCGGCAACCGACGCTTATACTAATGTAGCACCTTATACAACTAATTTTATTGATTTAACACCTGTTAAAAATGTTTATTTGCATTGTAATGAAATTAGCAACTATAACCAATTAACAGTAGCGGGTAACTCAAGTATTATTAAAAAGATTCCCGTTAATGTTCCTTACTTAGGGGTCATTAATGATTCCGAGTTGAGCGTTGTTGATTATATTGACGTCTCTAACAAATTATTAAGAAGATTAAATTTTCGTCTTACTGACCATCTTAACCAAAATATTAATTTAAACGAGGTGGATGTTTCATTCACGATAACATTTTTTAAAGGTTAAAATAACATATAAAATTTCTATATAGAATATATGGAAACGATTAATAATGAAGTTCAAGAAAGTCAAAATGAAGAAGCAAATGAAAAGGTGGTTGAAAATATTATTGAAGAAGCGACCGAACCACAAGAAATTAAACAAGAGGAAGCAAAGCAAGAAGAAGCGGAAGAGAAACCGAAACCAAAAAAAAAAAAAAAAAAACTACCGAGAACAGTAAAGGTCGTAGAGATGGTAAATTGTCCCGACTGTGATAAAAAGATGTTACCCAAGAGCTTAAAACATTCACATCCGAGAAATTGTAAAGGTCAGCCTTCGGAAACATTGCCCGTTAATAAACAGAAAAACTCGTATGGGTCTAAACTGAAGGAACAGATGAGAAAAGAAATAGAGGAAGAAATGAAAAGCAAATATCAAAACAAAGAAAACGAAATAATGCAACATAGCGAAGAAATTGAAGTCGCGAATGCACGCGAGGCTCAGCCGAGCGTCAAAACTAAAGCAATACCAAAACAACCCGTCGTAATGAAACAGCCAGAGCGACAATTAACAGCAAGAGAGCTATTACAACAGTCATACAACGAAATGAAGAAATTGAAGCAACAAGAGAAAGCCGAGAAAATAGCAAGGTTTAAAACAAGCATGTTTTAAATTATATTTAATAATTATTATCTACTATTGAATATAATATGAGCATTTTTAAGAGCAAACCAGAGATGAGACGTATGCCTATGGTAGAACAATACTATGATTTAGAAGAATCAATCGGAGTAGCAAGTCGGAAGAAAGAACTCGAAGACATGAAGTTAAGAATAGAAGAAGCGGAAAACAGAGCTAAGAACGTAGCGTTAAGGAACGATTGGATAAAACATCAGAAGCAATCGCTATATCAAGGCCAGTTAGATGATATCAATAGACAATTAGAGAGACCATCAATGCCAGTAAGAACGAAAGAGGAACTGATGAAACGCCAAGATGAATTAAAAACTATAATGAAAGAAATAATTTAAATCTAAAATAATAATATTAATGATTAAAACGTTAAAATCTGAATTAAAATTACGTCCGACGTATGATGAGTTAGTCGGTATGATTGAAAGCCAAGGCGACCCTAACAGACCACCAATAGAGAAAATAATTGACAGAAGAGCAACATTATTTAGAAATAATCAGTTCGGTAGTCAATTAGATAATGTTGATTTTTTGGGGTTGAAGAAACAAGAAGAAGACAAGTTAAAAGAAGAAATGAGACAAACACAACTGAGACAAACTGCTATAGCAAGAGGGACGTCGGTAGGAATGTTAAACGCTCAGACATCAGTAAGTTCATCAATGCCAAGCGGTGCAACAACACCATTTTTAGATTTAGGTTCAACGCCTTCGGAAAGCGAAGTGCCAAGTTTAGCCATAGAACAGATTGACGCAATACGAGCCGAATTAGAACGACACAACCAATTTATTAGGAATACGTCATCATCAACAGCCAATGAAGCAAGTAGTGAATTAAGAGAAGTGGGCGACCAAGAAATACCAGACGGTGTAATTTTAGAAGATGAATTAGAAGAAGATGATGACGATGAAATGCCACCGTTAGAAAGTGTGCCACCTTCAAGAGATGCGAGAGGAGTTAGACTAAGCAAAGTATCAAAAAGAATTAGAGGCAAACAAACCCCAACAACAGAAATACAACCTTCAACAAGTTCATCAAGCACAGCAAAAGACATATTAGTGAGTGGAGCAAAAGCAGGAGTAGAAACATTAGCAAAAGCAGGAGCAACAGCATTAGCAAAATCATTTTTACCAGTTTGAGCATATAAAACAAATTGTTCAATTTTTCAAATTGAAGAATTTCTTAATTTATCTAAAATAAATTAACAAAATCTATCTTATTTTATATTATATGTTACGGTTACGCCCGACGTTTGAACAAATTGAACGAGAAGCGAGAACAAGCAGATTAAGAATATTACCAGAACGTCAAAGAAGAACACAACAAGGGATATTATTAGATGAGGTCGATTTTGATGATTTTGATTTAGAGAAATATGATAGGAAGACAATACTATTAAACGAGAACCCCGAGAAGGGAACACAAACAGATGTATTCAATGAAACGCCAAGTATAACAGAAAGCGCAAGTATGAGAACACCAGAAGAAGAAATTAAAGAAGAACATGAGATGGAAAGCGAAGAGAGCATAAAGATAAGTGAAAAGGAACGCGAAAGGGAAAGAGAACGCGAGCAACCACAGAAAAAGTCAGTAATGCGAAGAGTTTATGATGCCATGTTTGGAGATGATGAGTTCAGAGAAGAAAGAGAAGAAATGCGAAACAGAAGGCAACAAATTGAAGAAGATGATTTAGAACGTGAAACACCTATTGAACCACAAAAGAGTGAAGAGAGCGATAACAGTTTGCCTATGAATGTTAAAAAATCTTATGAGCCTTCATCGGAATCATCAAGTTCTCGTAGAAGTTCGAACAGAAGTGCATTATTGCCCGTTGAAGAAGAAGCATTAAGCGAATACATTCATTCATCACCACCTGAAACAGTTCAAAGTTCTGTGCGGAGTGATAGGACTATTGAATATGTTGATGAACCATCGCCGCCTCAAAGCGTTGTTAGTTCTCGTAGAAGTCAAGAAACCATTGAGTATATAAGAAGCAGAACGAGTTCAAGGCGTTCAAGTGGTCAATCTGTAAGTTCCTAAGCCAAGAAATAACAGAACCGAGGTAATGAAAAATCATTGAACAAAAAGACTTAAAGACTTGAAGCCTTAATATAGTAAGCTAAAATGAAAGAGCCACTGTGTAGATTTATAGAGTGTGAGGTCTGTAGAATATTCAACGGAACTGCACTTTACAGAAAAGAATATTTCAACAGACATTTGAACAGTAAAGCACATAAATTAAATGAAGAGCTTAAAGCAGTTTCAGACAAGTTTAGCAACGAGAAAGACGAAAAGAAACGAGATATATTGTTTAAGGAGCTTGAAAAAATCAGCGAAAAGCAAACGAAAACCAGAAAATCAAAATCTTTAGATATAAACAGAGACCTAACAGAAAAAGAGCGAGACGAATATCTCAAACAGCGACAATCTGAACAAGACGAATATATTAAACAACGACAATCTGAACAAGAAGAAAGACGGAAAATTAGAAACAAAACATGAAAGTCAAAACTTACAACAAAAGGACTAACTATAACACGGGAAGCCCCAGAAGCTTAAAAAGTTGGGAAAAGACTGAAACGAAGAAGGGGGAGATATGGGGAAGAAATTAGGTTTATTGTTGCTATAAATCATAACAACAACAAACATTCAAACAAGCATATGGGAAGGACTTTAAGAATATAGGAACGCATAAGGTGGATAGATTAAATTTTAGGGGTGTTGTTATTTGTAGGATTTGTGGAATGAATGAGGTAGGTTGTCCTCAGAATCCCCTTAGGATAATGGATAAGGCGGGAAACGAGAGAAAACGAATGAGGGGATGGTAAAAAGTTGGGGCTAAAAATTCGGCGGGAAATACGGGGAAACTGGGCTTAGGAAATGCAACAGGTAGCGAAAGAACATAGAACTAAATAAGGGGGCAGGGTCAAGAAAAAGCAGAGCTGGGGGGCAAGTGGGTAGCGATATAACCCTGAAGCCTTAGCCTGTGAAACCCCCTTTTACATATTTTTTCCCCCCCCACCCCCCCCCCCACCCCTCCCCATCCCACTGTCGGCCTACCCTCCACCGCCTCTCACCAATTCCAATCCACGCCAAAACATCCCCACCCCCTCCCCCACCCCCACGCCTCCCCCAACCCCCTCCACCAACCCTCTACCATCACCACCGCTGCCTAACTGTAAATCTGTAAGATCTCTCTCTGGGAGGCAATCGTGGCGACCGCTGCGAGGCACACGGCTCAATCCGCATCAATCCGCATCGTCAAAAGGACGAGCGGCAGTGGGAGAGGAGGCCGGGGGCCCCGGGGAGTTCAGGGTGGTCTTTGCGCTCAGGTTGAGGTTCAGGTTGTGGTTCGCGTCTTTCGGTTCTTCTTTGTGGAGTCGGCTGTGGTCGACGCTTTCGGATTTAAATTGGTAGCGGAGCCTGCGGGCTCAGGGTTTTGTGGTTTTAGGCTCGTGTGCCATGGCAAGCTTTTACGGCCACGGGGTGTGGCACGACGGTGGCAGTGGTGATGCTGCTGGAATGGCGGATGAGAGTAGAGACAAGCCTGGGGAACCGAAGCCTTCTGTATCGGGCTCTCGGGACGAGCGGCCGTTTGAAGGGTCAGAAGGTGAAACAGGGGACAAAGACCAGTGGAAATCTTCCGACTGGTGGCAGAGTTTATGGGATGCTGGCTGGGATCGCGATGGCTGGCAAGGATGGGGTGGTCGATCGAGTTGGACAGACACTTGGACATCTGTCTCTTCAGGGGCAAGTGATGGGGATCGTGATCGAGGGCCTCGTGATGGAGTTCCTCTTCGTGATGATGGCGACACCTTCTCCGACGGCCACCGGGACAGTTCCAAGGGCGAGGTTGCTGGGGGCGAGGGAGGCCGTGGACCTTCCGAACGCATCATGGTGTTTTCCTTGCCCGGGGAGGGCGATGGCGATGAGCTGGGTACGAGCGCTCGCTCGTATCTTCGCCAAATCCTGGCCAGAAGATGACACGAGTGTCGGTCGATAAGCAAGCGCTCGTGTTGTACCAACCCCTCTCCGGCCCAGCTTGGGTCGAAGCTGAGAGGTTGGACATGGAAAGGCTTGGCTCCACGAAGGGGATGGAGTACTACACCCAATGGGTTCGCGACCGCTATCTCGATGTCCAGGTGACCCAAGTTGGGCGGAGCCTCTCAGAGTTCTTCAGGAGATTGAGGAGGAAGCCTGGCCAAAGCATCCGAGACGACTGCGGGGAGTATGACCGCTGCTATGCGAGGCTTATGGAGTGTGGCTGTGTCCTGCCTGACATTGCATGTGCTTGGGTGTTCATAGACCGCCTTGGACTCGACGAGGCGGCAGAACTCAACTTGCTTGCCAGTGTGGGCAATGTCTATGACTTGAAGATGTTGCAGAGGGCGGCCATCGTGCAGGACAGGGCTTTGAGGAAGCCTTGGGAACAAGGGAATCCTCAGCACCAAAAGGGGCATCGTGGAGCACCTTGGTGGAAAAAGAACCAGTTCGTGACCCAGACTGCGAATGTGGCGGATGTGGAGATTGAAGAGGCCGAGGCGATGTCCGAGAACGGGGAGACGATTCCGCAGGAGATCGCCGAAGAGTGGTTCGAGGCCTTCATGACACATGAGACTGCCAAGCAAAAGTATCGTGATGCTGCCAAGATGCGAGGCTCAGATCCGGAGGCCGTGAAGAGGTTGGCTTCGGAACGTCTCCAGATAGGCGAAGAGCTTCTGTGCGGGGTGCAAAAGGCGAGGACACTGGCACAAAGATCCCGAATGCCCTCTTAACCAAGGAAAAGGCCACAGAGAACATGGTGGGGCTTTGGGTGGAATTAGTTCTTCGGGGTCCACTGGTGGTTCTGGTCCGCGCAACGGGAACGCTAAGGAGAACTTCATGTGCAGCGTCGTGTGTGTGACTTGGGACCTCAAGAAGGAAGGCCGGGCACCCCTCTTAGCCATAACTGACACGGCCAAGACAGTTGCCGGAGCGCCTTGGGTCGAGACCTATCTCGCTGCGGCAAAGGATGTGAACTTCACCCCATTGGTCCTGGACTCCAAGGAGGCATTCAAGTTTGGGGCATCGCGGATCTTCGAGTCGGCCTACTCCATCGTAATCTCCTTCGGTTTGGGGTCCCAGGTGGTGCAGGTGAAGGTCGCCGTCGTGAATGGTGATGTACCACTTCTTCTGAGCCGAAAGGTGCTCGGGCAACTTGGTATGGTGCTAGATGTAGCCTCCAACAGGGCCGATTTTCGGGCCACGGGGGTCCAAGGCTTGGCTCTTCATCTCACAGAGACCGGGCATCCGGCCATAGCAGTACAGCCTGAGCAGAAGCCTGCAGGGAGCAATCCTGGCCCTTGGCAAGACATCGAGCTGCAGCTGTTCCCGAAGTGTGCGCAATACACGGCTTTTGTCGCAGAGAGCATGAGTGTTGAGGGAGATCGAGAACTGTTGTGTGGTGACAATCATGTCCGTGAACGTGTTGGCAGTGCAAGTGTTGGACTTGAGGCCCCTCAGAACCCCAAGTTGTTCTTCCCGAAGAAGATCGGGTTGGCTACCCACAACATGTTGCTTGATGATTCTCTCACTCCTTCATCCTTCATGTCGTGGTGGGAAAACACGAAAATCTCGAATGACTTTTGGGTCGAGGGCGAACACTCCCTTGTACGAGTACATGTCGTTCCTCGCAAACATTTCTTCGATCCTGAAGGCTGGTCCACGGGCTCTGAGGTCCATAAGCATGCGCTCCTTGAACAACTGGGACAGGTGAGAAGTACTTGGGGGGTGGCTTGCAAAGATCGTCGCCTCTTGTGCCCTCAACATGAGTTGTGGCGGTTCATCGCACCTCGAAACGCCACATATCCGGTGCTTTGGGTCGGCAGAACAGTGTTTGCTAGAGCGGCCCAAGCAGCTCTGGGAGCTGACCAAGGCGGAACTCTACGAGGAGGCGGAGAGCCGAGGCCTTTGGGTGAACCCTTCTTGGTCGGCACCGGAGGTGAGATCCCTGATTCGCGAAGACATCGACAGAGCCTCCAGTGTCACTCCGGCTACAATGATTCCACCCGGGCTCTCCAAGATGACCCTCGAGATGCTCATCCAGACCGTGACCGAGATGAACATAGAGATTCCCCCGAGGGCGTCCAAGGGAATGGTGATGCGCTTGATCAGGGACGGAGCCGGTGGAGGAGATCAGCATGTGATGACGTTCGGACGATACAAGGGGTACTTGTTCACCGAGACACCTCCGGGATACCGCCAGTGGGCGATGCGCGAGGTGCAGGAGAACTCCAATGCATCCGAGGAGCTTCGGATGTATGCAGAATGGTGTCGTGCCCGCCCAGAGGGCAACTCCAAGGGGACCTACTTCCACCTCAGCGAGGACGATCCGGAAGCGAATGCGACGACCCCCTATGTCTTCGACGAGGTGGACAACACGAGGTGGGAGCTGCTGGGGAGGACCGGAACTTCGACAATCCAGCACCCGAGCACAGTGTCCCCAAAGCCAAAGGCCTACCCTCGGACGCCAACGACACTGGGCACCAGGAGGGGGGCACCGTGGGAAACGGGATCAAGCTCGTCGATGCAGGCGGAGTTGGACCCGGATGTGCTCGAGGAGATCCAACAACTCGAAACCCGCCTAGCAGTCATCCGGGATCGACATGGGGTCGCCCCCCATCGGCCCGGGAGGGACTAAATGGTCCCGAAGAACAGGCCACGGGGGTCGACGATGACCCGTGTCCTGGAGCCACCATCGTCACTGAATTCGAACCCACCGAGGAAGTCTTCTACGAGTGCTTTGAGGAGACCGATGGCTGTGTGGAACAAGATGGTGGGAAAGAGATCCTGTCCGTGGAAACCATGAAGGATGCTGAGCAATGCGAAGCCTTGGCAAAACAAAAGTTGAAGGAGAAAAAGTTCGAGATAGTCGACCTCCTCGAGATTGTCGAGAACATCAACTTCAGCCGCAAGGGGCGTCACCGTCGGGCCTATGGTGACAAGGATGCGGTCATCAATGGGATCCTTGGGGGGCTTTGGTCCTATGGCTCTATGTCTGGGATCTCGAATGTCAGTATGAGCCTTCCCTGCACGATGAAGTACATCAATGTCTTTATGCGGAACAAGCTTGGAAACGATGCGACATGGACATCCTTCGCACTGAATCGAGACATTGCGACTGATGTGCATTGCGACCACAACAACTTGCCGGGTTCGATCTCCTACACCATGTCGTTCGGAAACTTCTCCGGAGGAGAACTTTGGTGCCACGACGAGGAAACCACTCCAGAACTATGTGTACTTCGACATGGGCCTGCCGGAGAAGCACTAAGAGGAAGGCTGGTCGTGACTAAGGACGTCCCGGTCGCCTTTGATGCTCGAAAGAAGCATGCTACTCAGGAGTGGGAAGGTACACGTTGGTGCCTCGCTTGCTTCACCACCAGGAGCTTCAAAGATCTTGACCGCGGAGATGAAGAGCTTCTTCTCGGTATGAGTTTCCCTGTGCGTGGTCGTACCCAAGCCAAGGCCAAGAAAGAGGAAGCTCGACCCAACAAGGGACTTCGCAAAAAGCTATGGAGGAGTGCCAGGAGGCTGGCTACTTTGGCAACTTGGTCGGTCTCTTCTCTGGAGTATCCTCTTCCTCGGGGGCCCGATGCTGTAGCGCTCTTTGAGATCGGAGACCACAGCAGGACCTTTGAGACGGCCGAGACAACCTTCCTGACTGCCGAACCTTGTCTCCCAAGGGATTTGTTCGCCGCTGGGTTCATCGTTTCCCTTCAGGACACGCTGCGCGAGCTCAAACCTGGGACGGTGTGGATCCATGGCGACAAAATTCCGGGGAAGTTGTCGTCCCTCACGGAGTTTGTTAACCAACAACTTGCTACTGGAGGACAAGTCGTCCTGGAGGCTGACAAAGATGATGATGTGGTTTGGGGACAGGAGTTCATTGTCGAGGTCATGAAGGTCTACGAGAGTCAAGCGCGTGACGGCGGAGATGGCAGAAGGCTGCTTCGGGTCGGTTCGTCTCTCGCAAGACTTCCGAAGCTAGAAGAGTCCCATGCCGAGAACCTCTTGAAGATCCACCTCGACCGCAAGTTCACTGCTGAAGATGGAGGGGGTGCGCTTGATGAGGACCGTCCCTTGGTGGAGATGTGCTGCGCGGTTGATCATGAAGCCCCACGAGGACACCCCGATGGAGACGAACGGGTTGGCAGCAAAGGGATCACTTTCGGGCCAGGCCCCACCATTCAACCCGAAGTGAGCAGTTCGCTGAAGAGACTTCACCAGAACCTCGGCCACATCGGGGCCGAAGACCTGTGCAGGCACCTTAGACTTGCGGGTGCCGGGCCTGAAGTCGTCAAGGCAGCTAAACGACTTCGGTGTGAAGTTCGCGCAAGAAACAAACGAGGTGGAACAACAAGGCCTGCCTCTGCCCCTAAGCTGCTCCAGTTCAACCAGGTCGTGGCTGTGGATGCATTCTCCGCATACGATGCCTTTGGGAAAAGGCACGAATTCATGTCTGTGGTGGATGTAGGCACCTCATACCATGTGGTCTTTTCGCTTCGTGGGCATCATGCTGAAGATATGGAGCTGAATTTCTGCGAGGCTTGGAGCCACGTTTTCGGTCCTCCAGGAACCATCGCCTTGGATCGGAGGTGGCATGGACCGGCTACAGTGATAGGAACCGAAGGATGCAATCTATGGGTATCCTTTGGTGGGAGATGCCATCTTGTCGCTCCGGAGCATCTTCGACGAGCTACAGGTGAAGAACTTGGTGAGGCCTTTACATCTCGTGCCACTTTGGACGATCTCCACAAACTCCTGGAGGTTGAGCCCGATGAAGTGATCTTTGCCGATCAGGACGAGGAAATTGAAGGCGACCCCGTGCTCCTACCTGGCGATGGAGATGTTGAAGAAGGACCTGTCGGTGAAGAACGGGGAGTTCGACGAGGACCCGACGATAGAGGAGACGAGGTTGTTCCGACTGTTTCCAAAAGGTACCGCACCAAAGGTCCTCCTGAAGTTCCTGTCCGGGATCCCGACATAGATGACACCGAGGAGGTCATGATGGTCAGACGAGCCAAAACGGCCCGCGGGCGAGAGAAACAGTTGGAGAAAGAGATTCCATGGGGGATGATTCCACATGAACAGCACGAGGCCTTTCGAGCTGCCGAGGACAAACAGTACCGTGAACACATAGATCACGAGGCCCTTGAACCGTTGTCCCTCGAAGAAAGCAGGCGCATCAACATGGAGAAGAAGGACAGGATCCTCAACTCCCGTTTTGCTTATCGTGACAAAGCTCTCGCCAAACGCCGTCGAGACCCCGATGTGCCATGGAAACATAAGGCGCGCCTTGTCATCTCCGGGCACCTTGATCCCGACATCAACAAGGGGCTCGAGACGATGGCACCCACGGTATCCCGGCAGTCCATCCTCCTCCTTTTGCAGATCTTGGCATCTCGTTTGTCCGATGGGTGGACTGCAGCTGCAGGAGACATAACTGCCGCCTTTCTCAACGGCGACGAACTTCCTCGTGAGCTTTATTTCAGACAACCCCGCTCCGGCCTCGGGAACCTCCATCCTGAACAACTCCTTCGAATACGAAAAGGAGTTTTCGGCCTTGTCGACTCGCCACATGCTTGGTGGAACCGCTTCAAGGGGGAGGTGACCAACATGAAGCCTGAACTCCCGGACGGATCCCGATGTGTCATCGTGCAAAATCCTCTAGACCCTTGTGTGTTCTTCGTGAAAAAGGTGCTGGGGGAGAAAGAGGACGGGGAGTTGGAACTCTCCGAGCCCATCTGCTATTTGGCAGTCCATGTTGATGATGTGATCCTGATCGGAGACAAGATGGTGGTGGAGGCCCTGAAGAAGGAGATGAGCAAAGTCTTCCCAATCGAGGATTGGGAAGAGGGAGTCTTCGAATACATCGGCTCCGTCATCGAGGTGTCGGACAACAAGGTGAAGGTCTCGCAGGAGGACTATGTGGCCTCGAGATTGTTTGAAGTGGAGGTGCACCGCGGGCAGGCCGATGACGATTTGGCCACCGAAGAACAGCTCTGCGACAACCGCAGCCTGGTGGGTGGTCTTTCGTGGCTTGCAGGCCAGACTCGTCCAGACCTTCAGGCGAGTGTGTCCATGTGCCAACAGCTCCAGAAGGAGCCCCGGGTCAGCGACATCAAGTTCACGAACCTCGTGGCTAGAAGAGCGATGGAACATAAGCACCGCGGTATCGAGTTCCACCCCATTGACCTCAACCAGGCTGTCCTCCTGAGCTACCACGACGCTGGCTGGGCCAATGCACCTCCTGACAGCGATGATCCAGTATATCGCCTTACCCCTGAAGAAGATACGCTCGGCATGTTCTCCGAGGGGCCCTTCATGAACAAGCCACGGCGAGCCAAGAGAGGCAACTCCAACATCGCTTCGCAGCTGGGCAACATCTACATCTTGGCGGATAGAAAGATCCTCCATGGAGAACCTAGCATGCTCAGTGTCCTGGACTGGCGGAGCGGTGCTTGTAGCCGAGTCTGCAGGTCGACCTTTTCGGCCGAGACGATGGCCTGCTGTGGTGCTGTGGAGGGCGCCGACTTCATCGAAAAGTCCTTGGAGACACTCCTGAAAGGAGAACTCCAGAGGAAAACCTCTGGTAGAATCACCATGCGATTTCTCAGCGACTGCAGATCTTTGTATGATCATTTGACTAGGGGAGGAATACCTCGTATGCCTTCTGACCGACGTCTTGCTATCGATATGGCCGCTGTCAGGCAAGACCTTCAGTTGCTAAAAGGAAGACTCGCTTGGGTGCCTACAGGGCACCAGCTAGCAGATGTCTTAACGAAGCCTATGAAGGCTCGGGGGTGGTGGGAAGTCATCACCTCACCTTTCTCTTTAACCTTTCAAGAAGGAAGGAGAGAGAGTTTTTGAGCAGTGTAAATCTGTAAGATCTCTCTCTGGGAGGCAATCATGGCGACCGCCGCGAGGCACACGGGTCAATCCGCATCGTCAAAAGGACGAGCGGCAGTGGGAGAGTAGGCCGGGGGCCCCGGGGAGTTCAGGGTGGTCTTCGCGCTCAGGTTGAGGTTCAGGTTGTGGTTCGCGTCTTTCGGTTCTTCTTTGTGGAGTCGGCTGTGGTCGACGCTTTCGGATTTAAATTACACCAGCGATGACCCCAAACAGAATGTAGCGAGTTATACCGGTTCAAGTTGGAATACGTTGGAAGGAAGAGAACGACGAGCACCGAACAATTTCTCAGCTGCATGCGTTTGTCGAAGAAAGACAAAAGAGCTTGGTATTCGGATCGGCTGCCTGTCGCGCGGGAGAAAGTGGGAATTTTGCCGCGCATACTTTGGCAAAAGAAGTGGGAAAGGAGGACTTCATGTTTTTGCTCAGAAGGCTTGTCAAGGGCTCCCTTTACACGGAACCGTTGACGATTTTTTCCGCAGACCCAACGAAGAGCGTCGCCCAGAAACCATGCGCGGCAAAAACAAACATTTTTCCCGCAACTGCTACAACGTTGCCGCATTGCAAGACAGGATACCTGGTCTCGGCTGCATAGGTTTGGGAAAAGAAAGAAGAGCTTGGTATCGGGATCGGCTGGCTGTCGCACGGGAAAAAGTGGGAACTTTGCCGCGCGCACTTTAGCAAAAGAAGTGGGAAAGAATTTGCGTGCTTAGAAGGCTAACGAAAGGCTCTCTTTACACGGAACCGGTGACGATTTTTTCCGCAGACCCAACGAAGAGCGTCGCCCAGAAACCATGCGCGGCAAAAAATGCAAAAACAAACATTTTTCCCGCTACAACGTTGCCGCGTTGCAAGACAGGATACCTGGTCTCGGCTGCATAGGTTTGGGGAAGAAAGAAAAAAGAACTTGGTATTGGGATCGGCTGGCTGTCGCACGGGAAAAAGTGGGAACTTTGCCGCGCGCACTTTAGCAAAAGAAGTGGGAAAGAATTTGTGTGCTTAGAAGACCAGCGAGAGGCTCTCTTTACACGGAACCGGTGACGATTTTTTCCGCAGACCCAACGAAGAGCGTCGCCCACAGGATCTTGCTGTCACAGAAACCATGCACGGAAAAGAAACACATTTTTCCCGGGCAGAGTTGATTGATGAATTTGGTGGTTTTTTGAGTTCGTTTGACACAGCGTTGATAACTGCGTTTGGTTGATTGCGGGCAGATATCGGTTGCACAATTTTTGGATCATCTTGAATGGTTGAATGGTTTGGTGTTACGTCCAGGGTTATTGTTAACCGACAACCGCTACTGCCTGTCGCACGGGAAAAAAGAAAGAACTCTGCTGCGCATACTTGGCAAAAGAACTGGGACAGGACTTGTTTGCTTAGAGAAGGCCAACAAAAACCTCTCTTTACATTTTCCACAGATACAACGACGAGCGTCGTCCACAGGATCTTGCTGTCACAGAAACAACGCACGGAAAAGACACGCATTTTTCCCGCAACTCTTTGTTGTGAGAAGCCCGAAGGGAGTGCGGAGCTGCTACTCTTTGCTGTGAGAAGCCCAAAGCGAGTGTGGAGCTGCTACTCTTTGCTGTGGAAGCCCAAAGCGAGTGTGGAGCTGCTACTCTTTGCTGTGAAAAGCCCAAAGGGAGTGTGGAGCTGCTACTCTTTGCTGTGAGAAGCCCGAAGGGAGTGTGGAGCTGCTACTCTTTGCAGTGAGAAGCCCGAGTGTGGAGCTGCTACTCTTTGCTGTGAGAAGCCGGAAGCGAGTGTGGAGCTGCTACTCTTTGCTGTGAGAAGCCCGAAGAGAGTGTGGAGCTGCTACTCTGTGCTGTCAGAAGCCCGAACGAGTGTGGAGCTGCTACGCTTTGCTGTGAGAAGCCGGAAGCCAGTGTGGAGCTGCTATTCTGTGCTGTGAGAAGCCCGAAGGGAATGTGGAGCTGCTACTCTGTGCTGTCAGAAGCCCGAAGGAATGTGGAGCTGCTACGCTTTGCTGTGAGAAGCCCGAAGGGACTGTGGGGCTTCTCGAGAGATCGAATTCGCGGCGCGCGACGTTTCGGTCGGCCCTGCTGCTTGACGCCAAGAGCTCGCCCTTACAGCCGAACTTACCGACGCAAAGAACACCAAGCCAACAAGAAAGAATCAACAACGGGGAAAGCGTTACTGTAGTGCCCAGAATCCCTCAGTCTTCTTCCATTTCCCCACTGATTGCTTCTATGTTATGCCCCTTTGGGCTTGAAGTTGCTTCAATGATGCCCGAGCAGCCTCCACTTGCCCTGCATCCACCCAGATACGAACGTTGTCCAACTGCATACTCGCGTGAGCAGCCATGGGGCAACACACAAAAAGAACGAAAGAGGAAAAGAAAAACACAAAAATTTCCAACCATAAGTGTCCGTCTACATATTGGCGCTTCTTTCCGTGGTTTCTGCAGGCCATTAGCATCTCATCATCATAGACGCGCGTTCTGTTTTGTTGGAAAAAGAACGCCTTGACAACGGTGTTCTGAGGTTGTGTTTCTATGTCCTGCCGAGGCTGCCAAGGGAAGCTAAACTTAATAGAACTTGGAACCGTACGGCTTCCCATACAAATCGGAGACTAATGGTACGGCAACCCCTTTGAACCCAGCAACAGCAAGAAAACATGAAACAGGCCCAGCCCTGTCGGCGCCCGTAAGAGGCCGTGTGACTGAACACATTACATTTTTCGTGTCGGGGCTGAAAACCCAAGTAAAACACACATTTTCGTGATCACCGCAGCAGTTGCAGGGCTCGAAAACACTGAAGGGTTAGGTCATTTTTCCGGGAAATTCATTTTCGCTCGAAGCCTGATTGTTTTTGTTGTTGTTTTTTTTGTCCAGGGGGCCTTTTTTTTTTTGTTTTTGTTGTTGTTTTTTTTGTCCAGGGGGCCTTTTTTTTTTTGTTTGAAATTTTGGACACATTTTTTTGCTCGAATTTGCGCTCTCGCCTAGGCGCAGGCATGTTTTGCTCATTCCCCATGTTGAACCTTCAACTGGCGATTTTCGTCTCGGGAAGTTTTTTCTGCGGTATGGCTCCGGCAGTTCAGGTTCGAAATAGTGCTCTCGCCACAGCGCAGGCATGATTTTCTGGAATTGTGCTTTGGTTTGTAACCCAACAGACCTGTGCACTGGATCCTGAAAGTGGCCTCAAGTTGATTCTTCTTCAGGGTTCAAGGTTCAAAGTTTAGGGTTCGGGTTGCAGGATTTGGGCTGTGCACTGGATCCTGAAAGTGGCCTCAAGTTGATTCTTCTTCAGGGTTCAAGGTTCAAAGTTTAGGGTTCGGGTTGCAGGATTTGGGTTTGCACTGCTTGGACTATTCTTTTGGGTTTAAGGATCGTTTGTTTGTTGTGTTTTTTTCTAGGGGGTCTTGTTTTGAAGTTTCGGACGCATTTTTTGCTTGAAATTGAGCTCTCGCCGCCTAGGCGCGGACGCGTTTTGCTTATAAACCCCGAATTAAACAGCAAGGATTTAGGCCTTTGGGGATTAAGGGCTTCAGGCTTTGGAGTTGCAGGTGTGCAATCCCAAGTCACGTGATTAACCCCCCCCCCACCCCGCCACCCGAGCCCCAGAAATTGTGGTTACTCGCACGGCCTCTTAGAGGCGCCGTCTCCTAAAACATGAAGGGAGCCGAATGGGAGCCCAGGCCCGTCGCCGCGGCCCACCCATCCCAGCCAGGGAGCCCAGAAAGGAAAAATGAAGGGAGCCCAATGGGAGCCCAGACCCGTCACCGCGGCCCACCCATCCAGCCACTGCGGCCCACCTTTTTTCTGAGGAGAGAACCCCAAACGATTCTGTTTGGGGAATAAACTAACCCTCCCACCACCAACCCCTTCCTCCCCATTACTCTGTGCGCCCAACTATTCCACTCCACTTCTCCACTCATCACTACCCCCTCCTCACCCTCTGCTTATTTTTCTACCTCCTCCCCCTACCTCTCCCACCACCAACCCCCTTCCCCACCACCCTGCCCCTTCCCAACCATTTCCACCCCTGCCTTCCACCCCCAACTCCCTCATTCGCCATTAACCCTCTACCGCCACCACCAACCCCTTCCCCTGCCCCCCTCCCCACCACCCCAACCATTCCACTCCACCTCTCCACTTGCTCCCCCCTCATCCCCTCCCTAGCCCTCCCACCATCTTCCCCGGTGGCCCACCCGACCGCCTCCCCCCTCTCACCGTTCTCATCACTACCCCCTCCCCACCCTCTGCTTACCCATCCTCTTCCCCTATCACTTTTTCTCCAGCCACTTCCCATTTACCTCACCTGCTCCACCTACCCCTCCCACCCTAACCCTCCCACCACCAATCCCTCCACACCCCTCCCCACTACCCTTCACTTCCCAATCATTCCACTCCACCCATCCCTTCCCCTAACCCCCCCCCATCCCTGCCCTACCTACCCCTCCTCCCCATTCCCACCCCTCCC